CTCTTTATGTCTCTCTGTCTCTTTCTGTCAGTCTCTCTCTTTATCTCTCTCTGTCTATTTATCTGTCTTTCTTTAACTCTCTATATCTGTTTGTATGTCTGTCTGTCCGTCTTTTACAACAACAACAGCAACAACAACAACAAGATCTCCAACAACAACTACAACTACAATAATAACAACAACAACAATAACAATCACACCACCAGCACAAACAACAACAACAACAACCCATATTCAAATCACCCCCCCACACACAAACATACACACCATTACACTCTTTCACAACCAAGTTTACAGCCCCCCCCCCCGCAACACTACACAACACACAGCCAACACAACAGTGGGGCAATATGAAGTAATATATAAGTGAAATTCAGGTCAATATTGCACACCAAATAAGAATCACAACATAACATTTTCACAACCTTTCACAACAAATTTCACAACGCCAAAACCATTGTACAGTTGGTGAAAAAAAAAGACGCGTTTTTTTCTTTTTGTCCAATTTTTGTTTTTCACTATTTCACAATTTGAATCTAACATGGTAAATATCTGTCACTTTTTGGAAAGGTGATTGGTCAAAGGTGCTGGTAATGTGTGTTGTTGAACTATGGCAGGCTGTCAGTCAGGTGTGTGTGTGTGTATGTGTGTGTATATGTGTGTGTGTGTGTGAACATACTGTATATTACATGTGCAAGCAATTGTTTCATTGACCAATTTATGCACACACACACACAATACCGTGACGAACCGCCGTAACTCGTAATCAAAGGACCAGTTAGGTCAGCCGTGGTCCTGAGGCACTCTGACCTATGGTGTGTGATCACGAGGGAGAGATTACGACTTGAGGGTCAGGGATGGCACCCTGGAGGAGGTATGGCACCCTGGAGGAGGTATGGCACCATAGAGGAGGTTATGGCACCCTGGAGGAGGTATGGCACCCTGGAGGAGGTATGGCACCCTGTAGGAGGTATGGCACCCTGGAGGAGGTATGGCACCCTAGAGGAGGTTATGGCACCTAACCTAACCTAACTTAATCTAATTTACCTTTACTTAACCTAATCTAACCTCAACTAACCTAACCTAACCTATAACTACATACTGTTAGGTCCATCATCATAATTACAGGTGTTATATACAACTCCCCAATGACCAATATAACACAGTATTATATATTATAGCTCGAAGCATCAATTCTCTCTCCCTATAATTCTTACGGTTGTTATTATAGGAATTATATTGTATTATAGGGAGATAGAGCCATTGAGCAAAACCTTCGACCTGTCTAATGGCTCAGGTGTTAGAGGAAGTGGTGGTAGATTATATGGAATTAGGTTGATGATGATGATGTGTCGTATGTACAGGTAGGTTAGGTTGTTGGGTTGTTAGGTTGTTGGGTTGTTAGGTTGGGTTGGGTTGAGTTGAGTTGGGTTGGGTTAGAATGATCATTGTTTATCTAGTAATGTGATTCAACTCATTTATAAGCCATTAAATAATATGAAAACAGTAACTTATTAATATACACAGAAAGCCATACAATTACCCTATATATGTCTAACTCCCAGACCTCATAACCCCCCCCCCCCTCCCCACGTCTGTTTACAAGCCATTTGACTAAAGACACTAGCTTAGTTTTATCACCAGCAAGAAGCAAAATGGTAGAGCAAATGGCGAGGTCCGGTGGTGGAGGGGGAGGGAGGGATGGGAGCTGATTCTGCCTCTACATGCAAAATAGAGACAATTTTATCCTAATTTATTCCCACTATGACTGTCTTCCCCCAATTACTGCAGTGCGGATAGTAAGGTTCTCCCACGGGCCCTGTGTGTGTGTGTGTGTGTGTGTGTGTGTGTGTGTGTGGTTACTTATGGTAATTGTTCCCATCTCTCCTACTACCCTCTCCTCATCATCATCTCCCCTACCCCTCCCCCTTCTCCTCATCTCTCCTACCCCTCCCCCTTCTCCTCATCTCCCCTACCCCTCCCCCTTCTCCTCATCTCCACCTCCCTCCTCATCCCCACCCTCCTCCTCTTCCCCACTCCTTCATCTCCCTCTCTCCCCACCCTCATCCCTCCCTCTCCTCTCCCCCTCCTCTCCTCATCTCTCCCACCCCCTTTCCCTCATCTCACCTCCTCTCCCTATCTCCTCTCCTTCTCCTTATCTCCTACCCCTCATCTCTCCTATCATCTCTTACTCATCACAAAATCACACACAGGTGATTATTTTAAATGTCTGTATGTGGATGTGATGATCTCTTTAAGGATAAACGTACATGTGTGTATATTTGTGTGTGTGTGTGTGTTTGTGAGAGAGTTATTCACACAGACACACACTTTCACCACTATACACATACACACCTTCACCACTACCACCATTACCAACATTAACCACAACCAACCTACCACTACCACCATCATTCTCTTCTCTTATCACACACGCCCCTCTCTCTACCAACCACCACACGTAATAAACTGCACAGGAACATAATTTATAATCTAGAGGCAAATGAGAATAAATAGCTAAGTGTGTGTGTGTGTGTGTGTGTGTGTGTGTGTGTGTGTGTGTGTGTGGTCGGTTTCAACACCTCAGGCGGGCGGGATGGTAAGGAAAATGGGCCGTTACTCTACCAACATTATTCTCTTTTTTTTTTAAACATAAAAAATGGGAAATTTGTTTAAGATAATGATGGTGTTTTGTTGTTTTATTTGTTTTTGTATGTTTTTGTTTTGTTTTTTAGGATGTTTTGTTTACCTGTGTGGTTGTTTGTGATTATCTATCTACCTGTCTTTCTGTCTGTTTGTCTGTCTATCTGTCTGTCAGTGTGTTTGTCTGTTTGTCTGTCTGTTTACAGGTCTATTATATTAAACTACAGTCCTCCTTAATGACAAAATTTTGAGACCCCTTTGTAATGATTGTTTATCAGACCACAGCTTACAGCCCAGAGAATTACAACGCATATAACAGCGAGTGCAGTACAGGCCTCGTGGTACCCCAACATACTAGGTTTACACACCCTGGGTCAGGACCCAAGGGACCTGACCTCGGCCACTAATTACTTGAGTTAGCAGGTGACTTGACCAAACCACACCTAACCAAGACACACCTGGGCATGACCACACACCTGGGCAAACACAGCTGTCCAGATCTAACCACTTTAGTGTTAATTGGCAGGGGTCAATCACCGGCTGTTTCTCCCCCATATAAAGGCCCTGCAGTCCCGTCCACGGGCTCAATACGCTCTTTACTCTTACTATTCTCATCCGACTCATCTCTCCCCCGTTCGGGTCGTTATTCTGTTCACTCACACAGAGTCACGCTCGTCCTCTCCCCAGGTCAGGAGGGAGACTTCCCGACCAGACCCTGGCGTCACCAGCTAAGCAGAGTCTCCCATACGAAACAGTCCAGCAGCACCCGCTGGGCCTCCGTCAGGGCACACGTGAGTCTTTGTCAGAGCTATCCATAGGGTGAGTTACCTACTGTGGGAAGTGTATACATTCATGTTTGTGTCCGAGAGTCAGTATCCAGTAATGTAAATATGATATTGATATTAATGTATCTGTGTCATTGAGTGAATTAATAAATAGTTGTATCGAAGTGGTGTTTGAGAAGTTGTCCCTTAAGAACGTATAAGATAAATAAGTGTAAATAACTAACCGGCCACACTACCAAACTTCTTGTCTTTACATCCTCCTACTATAAATATTCTACCTATATGTAATATCCTCTTCTTGTGAGTTTTGACCCATTATACCTTATCTCACCATTATGTTCAATAGTGTAAATACCAACCCCTTATCCAACCTTAAAACCCCTTGAAATAACTACAAAAACCTTACCGCCCTTAAAACCCCTTAAGGTAACTACAACTACTTACCTCAGTTAAAAGCCGTTCAAACACCTTAATCCTCTTAAAATCACCCTAAAACCCCTTAAAATCACGCAAAATCCCTTAAAACACCTTAAAATTACCAAGCTAATCCTAAACATCTTCTCCCTTAAGCACCGTGTGGGTTGTAGGACGCACCCATACTCCCACCCCCACACACACTCTCCCCAAATACCCCACAAACACTCCCCACACACACACACACACATACTCTACACAAACCACACCCACACAGCACACCCACACCTACTCCTCCTCCCCCCACACACCATACGTGCTGGTAACTACACGTTCAGTAGTGATAACGAGACAATCACGTGCAGTATACCACCACCACCACCACTGCCTCACACTCTCTCACACCATCAGTTGTCACCCTCACACCAATCATCGCGTCTCCTAAATCCTGTAATAACTGTAGTACCTTTATTTGTATTTAGGATAATATATAAATCCTTAATAATTGTGTGTTTCTGTGTGTAAACCTAACGTAACCTAACGTAACCTAACGTAACCTAACGTAACCTAACCTAACGTAATCTAACCTAACGTAACGTAACGTAACGTAACCTAACATAACCTAACGTAACCTAACATAACGTAACCTAACGTAATCTAACATAACCTAACATAACCTAACCTAACGTAATCTAACGCAACCTACGAGTATTATAAGAATATCAATTTGTTATTTACCTTCTCGTGTGTTTAATTAGTCTATGTACAGGTGATTCACAATTATATGTACAAAATATGGTATAGGTATAAAAAATGTTGTTTATTTATTCTGCTAATAAGATACATAACAGTTGTAAATTATAATGTATATGACAGTACTTGTAAGCGTGTCACTGAATGTATCTCAACAAGCAGAATCAGTCAACAGTCAACAGTTGTCTTTATATACTGTGTAGTACATGTTATTGTCACAATAAATTCATAATAAACAATATCTATAAAAGGAATAAAAACATTATTCAATAATTTTGTAAATTTTATTTATTATTTTATGAACATGTCAGCTGGCCAGGGGGAGGATTGACCGGCCAGGGGTGGATTAGCCGGTCAGGGGTGGAGTAGCTGGCCAGGGGGAGGATTAGCTGGCCAGGGGGAGGATCAGTTTGCGATTGGTAGGAACTCATTCATGACGCGTACAACTTCTGGCAAGGATGCACGGTGGAGAGGAGATCGGCTGGTGGTCATGTCAACAATCGTCTGAAGGCCCTCCTGGACCACTGGGTTGTGGGTGAGTGTTGCCACTAATTTAACCAGCTGCCCAAAAGAATATGTATCAGATTCTGGTGAAGTGAAGTCACCGTCAGTGAATTCCGGTGCTTCCCAGTATCGTCTGAATGGATGTTTGTTGTGTTTGAATGTTCCGCGAATTTTTGCCTTTCCAAAGTCGATTATATGGACTGTGGGCTGGTCCTCTTGAAGGGTAACTGTAACATTATTTGTTTTTAAATCATTATGGATGATATTTTTATCGTGGATTTGAGACAACGCTTCCGCGATTTTAATCAATGTTAAAACCTTTTGATGTGTGTTGGCATACTGGAGAAAATCGTCGTAAGTGTCGCCAGTGTAGTCCATAATAACCGCAAACTGTTCTGGACACATAGCATGTATGCGAGGGGCCCCACCGGCACCGTTTAGTACTCTCTATATGGCCACCTCGTTCATATATGCCTGCAATTTTGAGTCCTTCATTTGCTTGAAAACCCTCATAACTCCATCATGCGCAACCAGGGTGACTACACCGAAGGTACCCTCCCCCAGCTCACTTAAGATCGGGATTTCTTCTACAGCCTCAGGAGTAATCCAAGGCACAGAAACTAAGTCGTCGGTGGAGGAAGAGGAATGAGGGGAGGAGTAAAAAGAGGGGGATTGAGAACAGGAGTCAGGAGAAGAGTGAGGGAGAGAAGTGAGAAGAGAGATGGGGAGTGGAGTGGGTTGAGGTGAGTGGGGAGTGGGTTGAGGTGAGTGGGGAGTGGGTTGAGGTGAGTGGGGAGTGGAGTCGGTAAGTGGTTTTTTGCAGCACAGGAGCCGCTTCATTTTACGCCACCCGGACACCACTGTTTTCGTTATTTTGTTCATCGTGCAACACCAACACATACTAGCACTTCCTGTACACTGACAGTAGTCGTTTGTCATCAATGGGCAGAGAATTATTGTAGTAAGAGGTAACAGGACATTGTCTTTATAGTATAGTGTTAATGTAGTATAGTTGCTGTAGTGTAAGATGATAGTGAAGGTGATGTAGTGAAGATGATAGTGAAGGTGATGTAGTGAAGATGATAGTGAAGGTGATGTAGTGAAGATGATAGTGAAGGTGATGTAGTGTAAGGTGATAGTGAAGTTGATGTAGTGTAAGATGATAGTGAAGGTGATGTAGTGAAGATGATAGTGAAGGTGATGTAGTGAAGATGATAGTGAAGGTGATGTAGTGAAGATGATAGTGAAGGTGATGTAGTGAAGATGATAGTGAAGGTGGATGTAAAGGAAGATGAGAAGACTGGTAGATGATGGTGAAGAATTGACAGTGAAGGTGATGGAAGTGTAAGATGAGTAGGAAGGGTGATGTATAGTGAAGATGATAGGATGTGATGAAGAAGATGATAGGAAGGTGATGTAGTGAAGATGAGGGTGAAGGGTGATGAAAGAAGATGATAGTGAAGGTGATGAAAAAGGATGATAGTGAAGGTGATGTAGTGTAAGATGATATGAAGGTGATGCAGTGAAGATGATAGAAGGTGATGTAGGAAGAGCATAGTGAAGGTGATGGAAAAGAAGATGATAGTGAAGGATGAAGTGAAGATGATAGTGAAGCTGATGTAGTGTAAGATGACAGTGAAGGTGATGGTGAAGATGATAGTGAAGGTGATGTAGCGGAAGATGATGAAAGTAAATAGAAGGAAGAAGAAGATAGAAGTTGATGAAAAAGATGATAGTGATGAGATGTAAGGAAGATGAGGAGGAAGGTGATGTAGTGAAGATGATAGTGAAGGTGATGTAGTGAAGATGATAGTGAAGGTGATGTAGTGTAAGATGATAGTGAAGACTGTAGATGATGTAGTGAAGATGATAGTGAAGGTGATGTAGTGAAGATGATAGTGAAGGTGATGTAGTGTAAGATGATAGTGAAGACTGTAGATGATGTAGTGAAGATGATAGTGAAGGTGATGTAGTGAAGATGATAGTGAAGGTGATGTAGTGTAAGATGATAGTGAAGACTGTAGATGATGTAGTGAAGATGATAGTGAAGGTGATGTAGTGAAGATGATAGTGTAGACTGTAGATGTTGTAGTGAAGATGATAGTGTAGGCTGTAGATGTTGTAGTGAAGATGATAGTGTAGGCTGTAGATGTTGTAGTGAAGATGATAGTGTAGACTGTAGATGATGTATTGTAAGATGATAGTGTAGAGTCTACACTGTAGACTGTAGATGATGTAGTGTAAGATGATAGTGTAGGTAATGTAGTAGTGGTGTCCTGCGGTGTAATGGCCAGCATGCTCGCCTCAAAAGCGAGTGGACCCGGGTTCGATCCCCGGGCATGGTGAAACTATGAGCAAGTATCTTTACAGCATTTGCCTCTGTCTACCCAGTAATAATTGCGGACCTGGATGTTAATCGATTTGCGGATCGTGTTCCAGGGTAATGGTTAGCCAGTGCTGTTGGTGAGTTGCCCCCCCCCCCCCCATTTTTACTCCCAGTAGATCCCAAAAAATTCTTGCTATCTCTCTGAAACTTTGAGGGAATGTTGCCATATGGTAGGGCAGCTTTTGAGCGAGTATTCACGATTTTCGATAATGTTTTATGTCTTTTCGACTTGAAGTGTTGGGTGCCGTCCTTAAAAGACCGTAATCCCTGGAGTAGGATGAGATAACACCCCCAAATACAAGGATTAAATCCCTCAGGTACAAATATTTAAACCCCCCAGTAGGAAGATTTAATCCCTTGAGTATACAATGCAACTAAAAACAATAGTTTTTGTCAAAATTTATAATTTTAAAAACTTTATTTTATCCAGCTGACTACGTCACCACGCCTCCACCTCCTCCACCCTCGGAATCATTTCTAAATACTGTACTTCTAGTGCATCAAAAAATTTTTTTTTACAAACCTAACCTAACCTAACCTAACCTACCAGAATTGACTAGAAACAGTGCTGAGGGTGGGGAAGAGGCCCATCACTAGTAAATATAAACCCCACTCCATGAAGCACTGTTTCAGAAGTCCCAGCGGTGAGGCCGATACTCAGCCGTCAAAGACATATATTATAATTCTCAGTATTCACACCCCATCCGCATAGAATGAACCATATATAGCAAACTGATACCAGTGATATATCACATAGTGGTCCAACTGTACACATATGAAACGTATTATACACTAATATACCTCAGGTGAAGCATAATCACTGGTAAAACTTGGACGTCCATGTCCGGTAAAAGCATTTTGTCATAATTTGAAATAACTTTCGTTAAATATTCATAAATTTTCTTGTAATTTTTATAGTGTCCTTCTCATAGTTTTCTTCATATTCTGACTGAACATTGAGAAAGATGGCTTAACCCTTTGAAGACGATGATTTAACCCCCCAGGACTGAAAGGGTTAAGTATAATTATAGCTAATCCTCCACTTTTATAAGACTAGAGTCAATATTTTACTCACATAGAAGCATAATTACTTTCACGAGGCGTTCTAAAGGAACTTAAAGCGATTATAATGTTGAAAATTGGATTAAAACCTGGTAAAGGAACGGTAGATGAGGTGGGTGGGACGGGGTTAACATTACGTAGAAAGCTTTTATGAGATGGAGAAAGTATTTATACATGTTGTGTGTGTTCTGGCTGAGGTGGTGGTGATTGGTGCTGTTTCTTTTCGTTGTTTCTTTGTTGTTTTTGTTATTGTTTTGGTGATTTTTGTTTTGTTTTTGTTGTTGATATGTTGTTGTTGTTGTTGTTGTTGATGTTGATTTTTTTATTATTATTGTTGTGGTTTTTCATGTTGTTGTTGTTGTTATTATTATTATTATTATTATTATTATTATTATTATTATTATTATTGTTATTATTATCATTATTATTATTTCTATTATTATTGTTATTACCACCATCCCCATCACCACCACCATCCCCATCACCACCATCACCACCACCACCACTCCTATCACCACCAGCACCACCAATTACCACCATCACCACCTCACCACCAGCAATTAATTACATCCCCATCACCACCATCACCACCACCACCACTCCTATCACCACCAGCACCACCACTATCTTCCGTGTTGGACCACAGTTAGTCAGCGCCAAAATATAATATATTTCACAGACAATATACAACTTGCTCGCCTGCTTTCAGTTAAGTCTGAAATACTGAAGCGTTTGTGTGCGTTAGTGGATGGCGGAGACGGTGGACAGGTAGGTCATGGACAGGTAGTTCATAGACAGGTACAGTAGGTCATGGCCAGGTAGGTCATAGACAGGTAGGTCATGGACAGGTAGGTCATGGACAGGTAGGTCATGGAAAGGTAGATCATAGACAGGTAGGTCATGGACAGGTAGGTTATGAACAGGTAGATCATAGACAGGTATTTCGTGGACAGGTAGGTCATGGATAGAAAGGAAGGCAGACAGAGAGACAGGTAGAAAGACCAACAGACGACAAAAACAATCATAATAATAATAATAATAATAATAATAATAATAATAATAATAATAAGACAAACATCAATAAAATTAACATTAACCATAGAGTGAAGCCATTCTTATCACATATCATTACAGATCTAAATACAGTGTAAGTTAATAGTATTTTAAGTCAGTCAAACAGTGAAGCCAATCTCCTCTGATGAGGTCCTTGGATGGTATATTACGAGATTAAATAGTCTACGTGATGATTAGACACCACAGTTTAATTCACAATAAGAATAACCACACTAAGGTAAGCTAACCAAAGCTAACGTAATTCTAACCTAACCTTAAACTCCCCCTCACAGGTAAAAGGTAAACAGGTTAATCTTAAGATGAAATAAACTGGAGTATCAAAATCTTCAGGTAATCCGAGAGAACAAATTAAGTCACCAGGTATGTGCTCATTACCACACAGGTAGGAGTCTTATCAGGTGACCCCAGACAACCTTAGCTGCCAGCCCTTCACCTCAAAGGCATCCTGGGGAGAGTTATTAACGAATCAAGGAAGGGAAGAGGGAGGAACGAAGGAGTGGCAGGTAAGAGAGAGAGAGAGAGATGGTAGGTAAGAAATCTCAACAAACACCTTTCAAGAAATAAGACAATCATAAAAACAAACAAACATTAAGTGGTTCCTTAAACACAACAAGGACATCCACAAACACAAAAACACACAAAAACACAACTAAAAACATCACTAACAACAACAACAAACCACCACAAGAAGAACACATAACACATAACCTCTTACCACCTGTAATCATTCACCTGTACCAAAATACTTTCCCGAAATTGGTCCAAATCCGCCAGGTATTAAAATCTATTTATTTCTCTTACTTTATTGTGTTTTGTTTATATAATGACGCAACAATAATATCATAAGATTCTACGATGATGGTGGTGGTGTGGATGGTGTGGG